AGAACAGTCGGAGCCTGTGGCAGACTGGGCTAAGCAGAGACATTGAGTGCAGGCCAGACAGAGGTCAAAGCTGTGTAGATAACTAGGCCATCATAAAGTCAGAGACAGGACATCTGCCAGTGACAGGAACCAGGGACAAGAGCAGTACAGACAAGACCACCCAAAGACCTTTCACAAGCCAGGCCATGTGGGCTAGCTGCCTCTTGATCCTGCACTGCAGTTGGGCAAAATCAGTCCTTGGCTTGGAATGGTTGAGAATGCTGCAGGTTGGGAGAACAGAAAAGAGTCAGTCAGAGAGATGGGAACACTCTTAGCTAGAGAGGAACCTCACTCTGTGAAGGCCTTGGATAAGAATCCCCCTCCCATCCCATCTCTCCTACAGTATAAAAGGTATCATCCTTTCTCTGCTTCCAGAAGAAGGTGGGCAGTACCCACCTAATGACAGTAGAACTTACCTTGAATAAATAAGGAAAGATTTTTCACATGCAATGTGACAAACTGCCGTCCTAGGCAGTCAGAACTGAGAACTCTAAACTTAAAGCAAGCTGGGGCCAATCAACCTTCTGGAGCACTGGGCAAATGTTTCCCCAGGAATATGAAGGAAGCCCAAGGTTTAGTTAAGTGATCATAGAAAATGTGCATAGCTTCTAAAGAAAGTTGCACAAATCATGCCCAAAAGATTACATTCTTTTACATTTTGTTCCTTGTTCATCCTCTTTATTCTGTATTTGCTATTCTCACAGTGACTATCTCATTTCTCTTGTTGTTTTACCCCAGAGTCATTTTGCCTTTGTTCTCTGGCATTACTTTAAAAGATGGCAACAAGCAGTCCCCAACCTTGGCTCTATCAGAATCACCTGCACAGATGCCAGTGCCAGTCTCTGCCAGGGGTTCCAATCTAGCTTCCTGGGTTGGGCCTGGAAAGAGAATGTGAAAACTACATTGAACTAAGAGATCTCAGATGATCCAATGTACATTGAGGGATGGGAACCAGTTGATCTGAAATCCCAAGTGCTTTATGGTAGTCATTAGAATGTAAACGATGCCCTAAGAAGAGATCAAGCAGCCAAAAATGTATGTTATGAATTCATTCTCTCATTTAGATGTTTCCAAACACCATTTTTACCATATGCAAAAATCTTCTACACTATACTTTCTTTTATATTGTTTTAAATTTACTCCATTTTATACAGAAATTTATTTTTTTAAATAATGGATTGGAGTAAATGCATGATGATAAGGGCTAGAAAGACAGCTCAGTCCATAAAGTGTTGGACTTGCAAGGTGAGAACCTGAGTTTGGATTCCCAGAATCCACGTACAAGAAGCAGTACACAGTAGTGGCACACGCTTGTAATTCCAGCACTGGGGAGGCATATGGCAGGAGGAAACCGGGAGGTCACTGGCCACCCAGCCTAGCCTACTCAGAGAGCACCAGGCTGAATACAAGACCCTGTGGAAAGAAAGAGGGAGGGAGGGAGGGAGGGAGGAAGGGAGGGAGGGAGGGAGGGAGGGAGGGAGGGAGGGAGGGAGGGAGAGCACACAAGAAAATGCATGCTGCTGAAGAGAAGGGAAAATCAAAGTTAGCAAGCAGGAAAAGGAGAGGGAAAAGAGGACACAGTGAACAGCCTGGGAGTGAAAATGGACAGAAATTTTGAGATGGACTGAGAGTAGTAGACAAGCAGTCGGGAATGGGGTATAGGTATCATGAGTGTGCTCTAGTGTACTAGGACAGCAAGAACAGGCGTGAGGGGCAGAGGCTGAGAGGGCAGGGAGGCTGCACGAGCAGACATCTGTGGCTGCAGTAGTTTAGACAGGAAAGGTGGAGGGTGAAGAGAAGGCCACAGTGAAAATGAGGCACTAATGAATGAGGAACAGCTAGGGTTAAGAAGGCCTGCATGGGTGAGGTAAGATGAAGCATGGGCAGCACAGCAGACTCAAAGGTTGGGCAGAATAGAGACCTACCATGCTGAAAAACCCAAACAATATCTGTAAACCACCCGAAGTAATCTCATGGGCTGGTAGTGTAGAATTTCCCACATGCTGGTAAACCCTCACTGGACCCATCAGTTCCCTGCAGAAACACCAAAACTCAATACTAAGAGGGAGCTTGCTTCTTGTGTTTCTTATCTGCATGAGCTTTTTTTCTCTGGTGGACATCTCCATCACGCCAACTATCTCCTTAGCCAACATATGGAAGCCCAGACCACAGGCAGTAGAATTGATAAATGCCCAGCAATGCACACAGTAATAACTGCATTCGTTATTAATGAGAATAAATCATCAAAATGCAATGTCTGAGCAAGCTGACAGTTCATTATCACATAAATCCTTGTATACAGCACAGTTGAGTTCTCAAACACAACAGATTCAGTTTTAAGTCTTACTATTAGCTGAACAATGATGGGGGGGATGAAAAATGTGTCTATAGTAAGAAAGCACAGTTATTTTCTGTAAAGTTTATTTCTGCTTCATGGTGTGCTCTGATGTTTCCTCCCTTTTAAGTATGTCAAGTCACAGACGCATTTCTCCTCCAGTCACAGATGTGCAGACAACTCAAGCCAGAACACAGCCTGTCCATTATTTCCATTTCCTGGGCTAAACTCATCATTCCCTCTTTGCCTTCCTGAGGCCTGAGACTTTCAAGGCGACATAAGGCACAGCAATGGCAAGGAAAAGATAAAATCCTAAAACAGATGAAAGGCACTAAAATTCTGTCTCCATGGAGATCTGAGGGAAATTTGTTCACTGCTCTATGAGGCAGGTTTATCATTCACTAATTCATTAATTCATTCATCCAACTTATATTTGTGGAGCATTTCCTATGAGCTAGCTCAATCTGCAAAACATTCCATTTCCTACGCAATGCTGGCTAACATTACTATATACGCAAAATCCTGTTGTAATGGATGCAAGTATGTCATGTGGACATACTGTTCATAATACTGTATTGTCCATCAACTAAAACTGAGTGACATGAACAATGTTCAACCCACTCCAGCCTTGAAATCAGATGCCCTAAACAGTCTGGATCTTCATGTTAAGAAACTCCTATAGATACTGTGTACAGGAATGACCATAGCCTATACATTATGGCCAAATGGGCATGCACAGACACACAATTCTGGAGTCAGTTTCTGCTGCCTAAGGGATCAATCAATCTACAAATCCATTATTGTGGGATGCTTTTACAGGAACTAATACATTTCCTGCAAACTCTATGATGTAGGTATTATTAATCTTCTCATTTTTGAGCCAAGTCTAATGAGCCAAGGACAGACTATTTATTCAAGGACTCTTAGAAAGTAATGAAACTAGTACCTGAAACAAGTTTGCAGCTCATGGATTCCAGCATTTCATAGGAATTGAAAATAAATTATTATTATCATAGTTTATATTTTAGCATCTCCTTTCTTCTTTAAATTAGTATGATATGATAATCTGAACATGGCCTCTGTTCACAAAAATATAAATGCTCTCTATGTCGCTAGCAATTCCTCAGTTGCTTACTCAGCTCTGGGTTGTTGCACATCACCTGTTCCTGTCTTTCCCAGGTGCCTGCAGGAGAGCGGGAACTGGCGTGTTATTGATGAGACCTAACAGTCAAAGGGCACTTTGTTGCTGACAGGCACTGGGATAGGTTTCATCTGCAGCCTCTCACCTAACCCCTACAACAGCCCCTTAAACCAGCACCAGTACAATAGGCATCTCTTTATGCAGTGGGAGGAAAGGAGGCACAGGGACGCTGAGAGGTAATGACTTGCCTGAGATCACACAGAAAAGGGGTGGTTTTCTTACCCTTCCCAGTCTATGATCCCTACCTACAAAGTCCTGGCTCCCTTCTCAATCCTCATTTCAAGTCTGGCTTGCTATGGGTATCTCTCAGTGCTAGTGAAAGCCTGCTTCCCGAGTATGCTGGCTTGGGTTCCTCCATCTTTGATTTCTCCCCCGATAAGGTCTTGGTACATCTGTCCTGAGCGGCTCTGCTTGCACCTAGCATTTGCCTCCTGGTGTACCTGAGACTACCCCTGATTGGGGGTGGGGATACAGTTCAGGGTAGGTAGCAGAGCTTTCCAAGACGTATCTTTCATCAAAGAGTTTGTCTCACTCTTGCCAAAACTTCTTAAAGGAGCCAAAGCTCTCAAACACAGCATTCCACATTTTATAAACCAATTACTACACAAAGTTCACAGTGGCCTTTCTTTACAGTGGAAGGTCTGGACTTGCATGTTACTACCAGAGGATTTGATTATATTAATAAATGAGATGAAATGGAATTAAGGTCAGAGTAACTTGAAAAGTCAAGCTGTCCCTCTTCCTTTTCATAACCACAAATTCCACACAGGCTCTATCTGTAGACAGTCCACAAAGGGAGCTGTCCCTAGGAAAAGTGCTGTAGCTCCATGATGCCAAACACAGTCACTGAAGAACTTCTCTTTTGCTAAGCACCTAGTGTGCACACTAGCTATGATGGTATGTTTTACATGCAGGGGTTAAATAATTCCTACATGATAGGGCAGACAGGTCCCAGAATGCCCATTTCACAGATGGGGAAACAAGCTCAGATGAACACCCAAGTCCATGTACGGTCACAGAGCTGGGCTGAAATAGAAGTCTGCATAGGTAAGCCCCAGCTTCCACTGTTGGGACCAGTCTCCTCTCTGCGTCACTTCTCAGATGCAGCTTAAGTTGCCTGACTACGACACTGAGCCTGGTGAAAACCCAGCAAGAAACGTGATTGTGTTGTACAGCTTCTCCCCAAATGGCTCTGTGCTCCCCATCCGCAGCTAGGTCACATAGGTCCCCAGAAAAGCAGCCTGTCTTTTATCTGCCATGGTTTGCTACCTGCTGCTGCTCCATGCCTTCTTTCTTTCCCCCTCGCTTCCCTTTCTCCGTGTCTATGTCACACACACACACACACACACACACACACACACACACACACACACATGCTTATATACATACACACATACACAGACAGACACACGACCAGATACCCACTCAGGATACCTCGATCCAGCAGCCGAAGTAAGCGGAGATACCAAAGATACCACTGGTCCCAGAAGCGGTCCGTCATCCCACCCTGAACTCATCCTTCACAGCCAGTCTCCAGGGCAGAGCCTCATCCCACCACCACCACTGACCGACCGACTCCAGGCCAGATTCGCTGGTGTTGGGCTCACACGCAGCCTGTTCTTAGCAAATGCCTGCCTGCAAAGACAGCCACCAGTCCTCCCACACAGAAGCTGACTGTGCCGGGAGCCCGTTTCACAGCAACAAAGGAGCAAGTGCAGAACAACGCAGCCGTGTGCAGACTGAGCCTGCATGGACCCCAGGGGAGGTTGGAGATGCGGGGGAGGGAGTCAGGGAGGGCTCTTGCACAGTAACAAGGTTTGAAGTAGCCTTGGGAATGAAAATCCACAGGCGAGACCACGTTTAAAATTTCCTTCTAGTATCTCCTACCATACTGGCTTCCTGTGCCTCCCACACAGAGGCCAGCGACTCTTCCAATAGGATGATGAATGGGAAACCAGATGCTCAATCCTCCTGGACTCTAGAACCAGTCCAAAAAGTCCAGGAGTCTGGCTGCCTCACTGTGGGAACCTCAGGTACTCCCCATCCAAGGCTGCTAGACCCCCACGGCAAGAAAAGGGCTTGCTGGCCCTTTCTTCCTCCTTCCCCTCACAGATTCTATTCAGGAGACAGCAGCATGGGCTCTGAGGTACTACGTTCAAGTCTAACCCCAGTTCCTACTGAACACTTGCTGGCCTTGAGCAAGCTACTTCAGTCCTTCCCCCTCAGTCTCTCCTCTACGAACTGGAAAGACCGGGGTTTGCTTCACAGAGAAACTGTGAGACTCCGCACAAAGGAGGGAAGCCCCTGGCATCACTGGCAAGTGGGGCAGACAAAAGATTACCTCTGACCTTCGCCCCCGCCCTTAGAACCTTAGCTCCCTGTGCCTCTCACCCTGCGGCCTTATCCCATGCCTCTGATCCAGCACCTCCTGCCAGAGTCCTTTCTCTCCACGCCCCTCCTCAGGGTCAAACCCTGACTCAAATGGCACAGAATCCGGGCAGCTTGCCCCATCTTCCCTCCTTTATATGTCGTTTTCAATCTACTTCCTCCTTTGTGTGACCCTTTTCCCTTACTGGACCATCAGCTACAGGGGGCAGATATGCTCCTCAGTCACCTTTGGGTCCTCCAAAGCACCTGGTAGGTACCGTGCATTATCTCAGAAGCATTCCAGAGACTGTTGACTGAATGAGCATGGGATTCTGGGAAAGCCATGCCACCTTACCTGGAAAGCAGGAGTTTGCTACCACACCTATTTCAGGCATGGAAAAGTTGCGAGTAGGAGAAGAACGCTCTGCTCTTGCCCACCTCAGGACCGCTGAGCCAGAGGGCTGGCCGCTTACACTGAGAGGGCTGTCCCTCTGGTGAAAGGGGGTCCCCATCACAGAAATGGAAGCAGAGGGGACTCCAGGTCTAGAGTACCTTCACTCGACAGCCATTGCACATCATCCCTTGCAACATCTGTCCAGCCTGGGCTACACCAGCTGCTCCTCCCAGCCTCCCAGCCTCCCAGCCTCTACTGGGCAGCTGGAGTGAAGGGGGCTCCTCCAGCCTCTGCCATTCCTGGGACTCTAAGGTAAATAGTGTGCATGTTTCTGAAGGACTAGGCAGAAGGCCTGTGGGGGAAACTAGGAGAGAGGAAGAAATAAGCAGAGCCACAGTCTCCACCCCCTGTCCCTGCCGAGCATCCCTACTGCCTCAGCAGGCCTTCTTAAAGGGCAGCTGTGGGACACAGCAGAGTCCTCACCCCCCAAGAGGCTATGCTCTGTTAGTGCAATTTTGTTACTGCCTTAAATGGACAAGAATCTTGTGAGCAGTTTACACAAGAATGCAAAGCCCCCTCCTCTCTTCAGAGAGAAATGACCCACAGTCTTCCCCTTTTGTGAGTAACAAGAATCCATTGCTCACACGTGGCCTGTTCTTTTTAGCTCACAGAGTACTTTCTCATCTGTCAGCTCCTTTGGACTCAAACAACCTTGCCAGGTCTGCTGGACAAGAATGATCTTCCCTGTCTACAGAAGGCCAAACCCGTGTTCCAACAAGTTTAAAAATTTTCGTCAAATGATACATAGGTGTGATCTGCCTCCCCCTTGTAAAGGTCTCTGGGGCTCACGTCCAGATAGGATGCAGCACCTCTCCTTCACAGGAGAGCTAGACTAACAGCAGCACTTAAGAAGCAGGGCAGCGCCAGCATGCCACAGGCACGGGATGCACAATGACTGGCAAACAACCTTTGATAGTTTTGCCTTGGACCCTGGCTTATGGTTGGCCAGAGAGTACATCTCCAAGTAAGAATGGCAAAGTCATTTTCCCTAGTGCAACTTACAGGAAACTTGAAACGTGAGATTCCTACCACAGCAGAAGACCTGAACAGAGAGGGGCTCTGGAAGAGCAACATCACCTGGGAGGCAGGCAGGCAGCCCGCATGCCCTTATAAGCACATGTATAATCTGCAATGCTCTCCTGGTGCTGATGCTGGGGTTAGAAAAGGAAGCTAACGCTATCCTTACTTCCATAGAAAAGAGAATAAAGACTAGTAAAGAACAACATGGGTGCAAGCACTTCCCCCGCACACAGTGAACCCTGGAACAACATAGCATCACCCATTGGGTCAAGCCCAGGAGGAACCCATTCAGCCTGGAATTTTATTCTCAGTTGGCTTCAATCCACTAACCAGGGCTCCTCGGTGCTCCACAGCCCACCACTGCTCATTTCTACTATTCCCACAGAGCGTCATAAGCCTTCCTTTAAAACGCCTTTCTAGAAGTTGAATAAAATGTTCCAAGAGACTGCTAGGATTGTCATTCAGCCGTAGTGCAATCAGAAAGGACGGGCTATTGCCAGGACAAGGCCTTATTAGGTAGGTTTTTGTTGTTGTTTTGTCTTGAACAGTGATGACACAGTGGTTCCTTCTTTCACCATAGTCAAAGCAAGCACAGCCATTCCTGTTGGCGTGGCTCCTTCAGCCCACTCCACTGACAGTCAGTGACTGCAGGCCAGCAGCACCATCCACTGCAGAGGGATGCTGCCTGTCTGGCTGCGCTGCAGCTACTTGGTATCTTAACTGGGATGTGTTCCCTTCTCTTCAGTGTTCCTTCTTCCTTTCTTGGCACTGTTCTCTCTCCATCTTTTCACCCGCCCAAGGGAAAAACACTGTGTTCTCAACCAGATAAAGCCAGCATAAGTGGATGGAGCAGAAGGCAAGCAGCAGCGAGGGAGGAGAGAACCAATTACACCCCACATCTTCTCCACTCACCTCCCAGGACAACTGGGACCACTAACCTCTCAGCAGCACTAGCCACACTCCTCAGTTACATGCAGTAGCTGGCGAGTGAAGACCACACAAGAGGTGGCACAGTTGCTGGTACCGGCATCTGTGAGCCAGGACGAAGCCTGTCCACAGACACAGGGTTCTCCTCCCACCCCACTCCAGGAGGTAGGCGCCATCGGGCTGCCATTTTTCTGGTACCGGCATCTGTGAGCCAGGACGAAGCCTGTCCACAGACACAGGGTTCTCCTCCAACCCCACTCCAGGAGGTAGGCGCCATCGGGCTGCCATTTTCCTGGTACCAGCATCTGTGAGCCAGGATGAAGCCTGTTCACAGACACAGGGTTCTCCTCCAACCCCACTCCAGGAGGTAGGCGCCATCGGGCTGCCATTTTGCCCTGCAAGCTGTGCTTTGACTTCAGCGTGAACCACTCTGGCAGACACCACCCTCAGCCACCTCCCACAGCACTTCTGACCCCTCAGCAGCCAATGCCCAAGTGGTAAATGGAATTCAGCAGCAACATCTCAGAGATGTCACCTGGGGAATGGCATGGACACTTGCCAGTCTCTCCTATGAGAGCCCAGTGTCCCTGGGTGAACAGGCTCCTTGGGTCCACACATGAGGATATCTTTAAAAAGTATCACCCAGACACTGAAATTCAAGTCCACCTCTCCCAGGAGGCCTCTCCCAGCTAATCTCACCTGCTCTCACCTCAGTGTCCTCAAAGTTTAATGGGCAGCAGATTCACCTTGGAGGGGTGGCAATTCATGCAGATGTCGTATTCCCAGAGGCTCCTCTGGGTGACTCAGAGATGGTGGCCTGTCTGCTCTGTCCCCGCTCTCCCCTCTTACCTTCAGCACTAGCTTCACTAAAGTATTTTGATTGAATTCTGTGAGGTACCTTGTCTGCTCACACAGCCTAGCAGTCCAGGACAGAGGGACTCTGAGTTCCTTGTCCTGGCAGGCTAAGAAAGATCTGGCAGAGGGTCGCACGGGAAGGGCTAGACACCATGTACCCTAGACACAGAACTGAACCTCAGCTCTCCTCAGGGTTCAGAACACATCCCTGCTGCAGGGTCACTGCAGATCTGTACAACAGCTTTAAGTGTCGCCTCAAATATTGGTCAGGCAACAAGGGGGACAGACAGGGACTGATTAGCCTGCATTGTCCCTGCCCCTGTGCTGCTTTCCAGGTGCTCACCTCTGACCTCTGGGAGATCTTATCTCTCCCTTGACCTAGAAAGATATCACAAAACCTCTTACTGCACTGGCTCAAAACCAGTCAAGTAGAAGAAGCCAACCCTCCCTCTCTTTCCCGCCCTCCTTTGAGGATTTGTACTTCTCCCGCAAGCCACTAGAAGCTCCATGTTGGTCTGAATCTCCAATGTTGCCACCCCGACAGCCCCATCCAACCAACAGCTGTTTCTCAGTTTCTTAGAGCCTTTCTATCCTGGGTCCAACTCTCTCTTGAGTAAGTACTATGTATAGTGCTATAACAACCTGATCCCTTCTGTAGTATTTGTGATAACCTTAGGAAATATTTGCACTCTGGCCAGTGGAAGTCTAGATCTCAGATAGTGACCTGCAGTGAAGGATCAGGCCCCAGAGATACTTGTCTCCCAACCGTCCCAAACTCACTCACCTAGTCAGACCATGACCACCTGGCAGCCTTTCCCAAAGCACATACATTGAAAAAGAAAGTTAAGCAACCTGGGAAAACAGCTCAGAACCAAGGAACCTTGTCCATCCAGAGGTCAGTGTGACCTGAGTGTTCTACACAGCACGGCTCCTCCATCTCTTTGCACTGAGAGTAGTTATTTTGCCCACAAAGGAACAGCTGTAACTCCATGACCTCAGGCCACCTCAAGCCAACAGCCTGCCTGTGTCTTGGGAGATTAGTTTTCTCTCTGCCACATGCCCAGCTTCCAAGAATCAGGAAGTTGAGGTAACCAATTACCACCACAAAAACCAAGCTCATACAGGCCCTTTTCTCTCATCTCATACCTTTCTCCATCTCCTCCAAACCCTGTGATGTCCTACCATACCAAATCTATGCAGTAAAACCAAAGCACCGCACAATTAGCCAGAGTTGACAACTGTGAGCAGAACTCACAAAGGGACTAAAATGAGCTTACTATGCCCCCAAAGAAACACTAGGTATTGGTTAGCATATATCTACAGCCAACATTTAAAAAAATACTCTCTGAGAAATTTCTCCTTTTAAAAA